TTCGTGTTTCCAAAAGCCAGTAACTACCCAAGGGACCTGACAGCTTTCTTCTATCCAGAGAACTGATTTAGTATGTACAGCAGCAATTCGAACTACGCTTTCACCTTGACTACTACATATCCCATCCAAGGGAGAAAGGGTGGTTCGTTACCACGTCCACTCAGCCTGTAGCTGTTCAGGTAAGACTGACAAGAACGATGATAACAGGTGGCACTTATGGTAAATGCATTTCTTTTCGAATAGCAAGCTGACTGAAAAACAATTGACTTAATAATTTTCAGTCATCACCGAACTGCAATTTGCACAAAACCCACCAAACCAGAAGTGAAAAAGAACAAAGGTCATTATAACCTACTAACTCACGCAACCTCCACACCATCCCCTTTATTTACGGCTGCACATTTCTGTCAGAGAAACGGCATTAAAGTTCTAGAGAAAACACAGCGTCATTAGAAAACCAGTGCACAGGCTCTGACCCTCCCATTTGAATTAGAACCAAATTACTTTTAGCATGGCTGTCTGGACACACTGATCCATCCAAAACTAGAATCAGGACCTTTAACTCTGGTAAGACCTTTTTGTTTTTTTAAGAGAGGCCTCAAAAATCTTGCAACCGAATTCAGCAGGACAATTTGTAGGTTTGAAATAAAGAGCATCTTCAGTATTTTGGGGATCAAAAACCTACTCATTCACCTGTGTTCAGATCTCCACAAAGTACCTTGTTATTGCTTAAATAATAAACAGAAACCACAGTAGAAATGATATGCAAGTAATTCAATTCTGCTTCTGCAAAAGAATACTGGAAAATAAATCACATACTTGTAATAGGTGAAAACAAGATTATTTTCTGAACTCACATAAGGCAGTAATTAGATGATCTTTCAATTTTTTCCACTTGGGATTATTTTTTAATTGGGTCAACTGAATGTGAATATGTGATGTTAGACGTGAATAATTTCAAAGCAGCAACATTTTTTAACAAGTTTGGATGGGGAGGAGAAATAAGAAGGTGAACTGTAAGTACACTTTGGGCAATAAACATCTATATTTTCCCTTTATTTTCTTTATCTTATGTAATGATGAGGACATTTCCTTCTGTACCGTTAACACTTCATATTGCCAATGTTGACAACTCAACAAAATAGCCTGCTTACTCACCAAACGTTCATCAGGAGAGGCAATGATAAGAGCCCTCCACGAAGTACATAATAACACTCCCTACAACTCTCAGCTCACTTTTCTACCCAGAGGCTTACGTAAATGACAGGGTTTGCAGTGTGCCTTAGCTGCTAACAAGCAGGGCATCAGGAGATCAAAGGCGACCAAGGGCAGATCCGCCCTCTCACAGGGAGTACTCTTCTGCCCAGCGGAGAGACCCCAGCTCACCCTTTCTATTGACCACCCCAAAACCCTCCTACAAAATGATTTGCTGCTTTTAAGGCTGCTTCTCGCTTTGCAGAACTGTTCGCTGATGCCTATGTAGGAGTGAAGGACCCAAAATAGATGAGGATCAGAGATCATTTTCAACTCTTTTGCAAGGGGCTTAGAGGGATTCTTATCTCTAATTAGGAAGGTGGCTGTCACAGAAAGATATGTTCTGCTGCAACTTACACTGAAGTCAATTGTAGTTTAGGTATTACAACAGCTGAGGCAGGATTAGTCACTACACATTGAAAGAGAGAAGCAATAAAGCAGAATAAACTGGAGTAACCTATTAGCTCTCTGAAGGTGAATTATGCAGTTGAAAGAAGTGATAGAAATAACCAGTCATTAGGTGAACAAAAATATCAATTTTACATTATTTAAATCTTATTTGTAATTTTAATTTTTACCCTCAACATTATGAAAACAATAACCCTACCTTTTAAAAAATGTATACAATTAAATCTCTATTTGTTTTCCCCAAAACTAGAAATCAGAACTTAATGAATTCTGAGTTCTTTCAGCCTTTTTTCTCAACTAAAATCTAGTCATTAAAGGCCTTTTTTCTTAGATAAAACCACAAAAATGTCCATTCAGTCTTAAAAGAAATTTATTTCTCCTTTAAATATCTTGTAGATCTTTTTTGGAAATTAAATCTGTAATTTTAATATTTACAGATTAATAATAAATCTATAGTTCATTACTAGTATGAAATGTAACAGTTTTTACAATGTACTACGAGTGCATGATTTCTTTTCAAAATTGCATTCATTTCATACCGTGGCAAAGGAAAAATACCAAAATCTAGATTTGCAAAGGGAAGGAGTGGAAAAAAGTGCAGTGTAAATTTAACCTCCAGATTCTTCCAGGATACTCATGTAAGCCTGGGTATGTCACTTAACTCTTGGCCACATCTAATGGTGGAAAAATTTGGAACTGAATTCTGTAAGAGAAACCATAGTGTAGAAAAGATGCGAGTGTTGTCATTGCCCTCCTGCTGAACCCCAGTATTTATAAATTTACAAGTTCTGTGCCTCAGAATTTTTGTTTTGTTTCCTTTTTTTTTTAAACAGAGTTTTTGTGAATCCTTTAATTAATTAGTTAGTGTTTTTAAAACTACATTTTTGGATACAACATGATACAACACTACTAAATATTATTATGGTAACAGGTAATTAGAAGGCCGGAAAGCACATGTTTGAGATCATAATACAAAATTAGAAAAAATGCAGGCTGTGCTATCTGTGAAGAGAAAGACACAAAAAATCCCCAATGGAAAAAAAGAGAATGTTTAAAAAAAAAAAAAAAAGGCAAGTAGCTTCCTTGCTATTAAAGGACTTGTGCTTTAAAAAGGCTGGGTCTCCTCCTCTCTTATGCTTCCTAGGATGATACTTGGACTGCAGTAATCAAAACAAGGAAGCAGATGGACAGGCAAAGTGGTACTGCAGCTGCTGCAGAAGATGACTATAATAATAATGTTGACATCAGTAACAGTAATTAGTGCACAGACTGTAGAGTGGATGATTCGTTTTCCTATCTTCTGGCGTGGGCATGCTGCCCTAGCGAATGGGTATAATGTTAGTACCTTTAGTTTGTTTTGTTCATTTGCTCAGTTTATTAATGAAATTGAATACAATAAAGAAAATCCAACTCTTCTCCCTCTCCAGAACACTAGCTGAGGAAAGCATGTTGTTTCAGTTTGGATTAATACGAGATGGAATCTTCATTAGTAAATGGCAAAATACCAATTTCTTACTTATATCTATTTTCAATGTACACAACAATGGCTGTACTCCCATACAGCCATCTGTACATACTCTCGAATTTCAGCAGCATGTAGTTCTTGTCTGGTTTTGACTAAACAACAGCTCTACTGTTTAGTGTGACTTCACCCATCTGCAGGCTGGTGCCGTACCTTTTTCAAGGGACACTAGAACAAATGGTGTAACTGTGAGAAGGGCCAAGAAAAACACTGGGCTACACTGAACCATCTCAGGTAAGAAGAAAGTAAAGCATCAGTGCTATCAGCAGTACCGTGTCATGCTGAGAGTGTTCTGGTAGCAGCAGACAAGGATGTACCACTACTCCTTAGCTGCCTCACTGACAATGACAACTGTCCAGCTTGGTGTTATACTACACCGAAACACATGTTGAAGAGCAAACTAATTGGAAGAGTGATAACTGTGGAGAAACAAATAGGTGGATTTTATTTGGGAAATACAATTTGTCACTTAGATGCAATCCTGCAGTATGAAGTCAAAGGGAAGGAAGGGTAATCATGCTTAGCATATGACAACCAAAAGCCTTTATTTTATTTTCTAATGAGTTTTTCATTACTCTGCATCTAGCTTCTATTAAGATTCATTTTCCCTGTTCATTTATTCTCCAAGATGATAAAAGATTTCCTTTGGCTTCCCTCTATTATCATCCTTGACAACTGGAAAAACTCCTACCCCCTTTTCAAGTGCTGTTCTACAAAAGGGAAGAGTGAAAGTGAGAAGCACAGGCTCAGGGTGGGAGCCACTCATGGACACTGAAAGCTCATTTATCTACACTCCCTTTCCATCCAAACCCTTCCTGAGCCTTCCAGAGTTCTTTCTGTCTCTAGGTTTCTATGTTTCTCCTTAAACATGCTGATCTACTGAAGGGCTCCACCCTTCAGCAATAGATATTTTTTGCAAGATCAAACTTTTTAATGAAGAAAATACGCTAAAAGTTTATAAACTTTTTGAGGTGTTTTGTATTTGCTTTTTTTTTTTTTACAACACAGAAAGAGAAACTTGAAGCGTCTCATAGAGAGGTGATGTTCTGTGCAAGGGCTTTTGGAGATGGGCTTAACAGACAGATAAACTTAAATGCTGTATTTAACCTTCATTATTTGCTTTCACTGTTGAGAGGACCACATTTGCATATGAAGAGTTTCCCCGACATATTTCAAAAATTAAATTCATGTGAATTAAAAATCCAGCCATAACTTGGAAAAGGAGATGTCTGCATAAACACATCTTTTGTTTTTGTTTCTTCTCGTCTACTAAGGTAGATGAGATAGCTTCAGTAATTCTGTTCCTAACACTGAAGGAGACCATTAATCAAATTATTCCAAATATGAATAGAAAACAATGCAAATGAATGGAAAAGAATAGGTATTCAAAAAACAGCCATGATTATTTTTCAAGGAAGAAATTGCAAGAAGTAGAGAAACAGATGGCTGAAAGTGTTAGATGAAGACACATATTCCTATGCAAACTAACAGACTTAATTAATTACTCAAATCACATGGTATTTTATAGAATGACATTAATGATCAGTAATAAAAACTGACAGTGGTGCCTGGTGCCTTGTCAGCTCTGTTTAAAGAAAACAGAAGAAATTATTATAAAAAGAACATGTTTATACCCTACAGATGTAACTCACAGACCATAAATACAGCTTTCAATGTTAGTTTGACTTTGAACACTTTCCCATTAATTTAATTACAGAGTTTTTACGGAACTGTAAAATTGTAAACAACAGCATTCCCTCATCACATTTTCCTTAACAGAATTACTAAAACATATTCAGCTAAATCAAAACTTTACCTTAACTATTTCCTCTATGAAGCAGACATGTGACACAGGATCTCTTTTCTTTGTCAATACTTTCTGCAAATGCTGCACCTGTAAGAAAGAATTTATTGAGAGGAAAAGTGACATCTAATATCTTATATGCAAAATTGCATGACTAGACAAACACGAATTAGCTGCTGAGTACCTGTCCGCAAGCAGCACAGATCTGATCCATGAGTTTCTCCATGTTTGTCCAGAGGGCTGCTCGAAAAGCTGCTGTGTTCCCAGGTGTTGGCATAGCAGCTCTACCAGGGCCACCTAAATGGTTTTTAAAAACACACAGCAGCACATTTCAGCTTTCACATGTAAAAATTAAAATATTAGAGATATAGATCTCTATGCACTCTGACATAAGATTTTTTTTAAAAAAGTCAAAGCAGCCTAAAATAGCTTCAAAACAGAGCTTTGTGAATGGCCTCAGTTGTCTCAATTGAGAAGTCAACTAAACTCTGAAGTTCAGCGGGGATACTTCAATGTTCGTCACTGTTACCTGCTTTACCAATTCAGACCTCCACAGAAACACCAACGTAATGCCAATGAGCACTGTTGCAGGATGTAATAGCAAAGTGAAATGGCAGAGACAGTAGCTCTGAAAAATACAGGTATTACCAGCTCAGAACTTAAATGCATAGGCAAACTGCTAAAAAAAGTGATATTCCAGCTGAAGGGCATGCAGCTAAAAAAAGTGATATTCCAGCTGAAGGGCACGCAGATTCTAAACCATCACTTTCCTTGAGAGGGGCTGCATTTCTTTATTATGCTAGTGATTATGGGTTTGGACCCCCAAATTGTTGCAAAAGTTTTTTTCTAAAAGTTTTAAATGTTCATATTGCCAAAGTTCAAATTTGCCTGCCCACCCAATTCCTCACTATCTTTGGTATCTGAGCTAACACGTGGGAACTAAATGTTTAATAGTGCAACATTTCTTCATATTAAATATACTGCTTTGAAATTATTTCCATCTGACAAAAGCATCACAATATAGTTTCAGGCTTGTTCCATTGCTTGCAAATAATTTCTACCCGTGATCCTCCCACCAACAAAGAAAGCAGAATTTGGATTCATCTTGCCATGACAAACTGCTAAGAAAATGCAGCAAAGTTGCAAACTAATGGGGACAATTTTCTGCACAAGTCAGGAAAAAGAGGGGGGATGGGGAATAAAGGAAAACTTCTGAGCCCAATAACAACAGACAGACCCAATTTGGCTTTGTATTAGATAATTTCTGAGACATGCCTACTCCCATCCTCTACTGGTTAAAGCAAGCAGGGAAACGTTCCTGCACAGGCTTGGACATGAAAGTTTCTTCCATTTGACAACATACTGTACTTCTGTCAAAAAAACCAGTTATCATTCTCTGTAAAACAAGTATCATACCTCTTGTAACAGTTTGCGATGGTTGGGTCAATACTTTGATATCCAAAGCATTTTTTATGTTCTCCTCCAGGACTGTGCAGTATCCATCCACCACATTAGCAATGGTATCCTTCAAAGTCCCAAGGTTATGGAAAACCTGAAGAGCAGTTCCCACTTGAGTAGGATTCTAGAGAAAGAAGATTTTCAAAAATAATTATTATCTTTAACTGTACTATAGGGTTTTTTTATCCATGATGAGGCATCATTTTACCAGACAAGTTCATCTTTAAGTTCAGTCTGCTAATTCATTTCATTTAACATTAAATAACTGGCAACCTTACTGCATAACAGAGAACAGAGGGTAAAGGAGAGGACTGATTTCCTTTGATTGCTTAGCAATGCTTTGCTTAGCTTCCTTTGGTGCTATCCTCTGAATAAGAAGAACGGAAAAAAAGGAACTGGAAGCACTGCTGGCAATATCTAACCTGGGGTGGGTTACCAGTGATTGATACAACAATTTCGAGGTTAGTTACAGTACAGCTATATTCAGCTATGGTGTAGCTAGTAATACTGTTTTAACACGCAGTATCTGTTACAGTACTGTCATTTAAGTGCCAAACAGTTAATTAAATGTGATACAGGCTTAAAAAAAAATACTAACCAAGGACAAGCAGAGGCAAGCAGGTCAAGCCCCTACTACTGGCTACAGATTTTACGCTTGTATTTCTACATTTCTATTTCTAACGCTGACAATAATTTCATCTTCCTCCCAGCAGAATTAAGAGTGCAAAGCAACACAATGATCATTTCCAACACCTGCAAAAAAAAAAAAGCTCAAGTGTCTCTGTATTGTTCAGAGTTTTTCCGAAATACAGGAGAGTGAAAACTATCCAAAAACTATTCAGGTCTGTTGTTTAAGAGACCTTTGATTAAGATTAAATCTGATGATAATTCCACTGAGCAACACTAAACACTGGCATGGGTGCTATTTAGCAAGAGAAAAGCCTCAAATTATTGCCTTTGGAAACTAAGCACTGTCATCCATACACTGAATACTGCTTTTTTATTTAGCATTCACAGGCAATTAATGGAGGGGGCGATCAGTTGATCATACACACATTAGAGATGCAGTCTTTTGTCATTTTTCCTAGTGACTTCTGCCAGCACTAAAGAACATGGTCTGGTGAAACCCTGGCACCCAGACTGGACAGAAGCATCTGAGATCACAGACGCGTCCCACTAGAAACCCCACTTTTGACTCTCCTCTGGCAGTGAGACCTTATACCATTGCACTCTTCCTGCTGGTGGCTGCAGCAGCAGTAGCCACTAACATGAAAAGGGTCTACTGCAAGACCAATGCAACTCTGCTTCATCTTTCCCTGGTCACAGTTTTCTTAGCCAGACAGTCTTGAGTCAAAGAAAGTGAGTGTGCTCGTCTGCCTCTCAGGTGTGGGGAACTTGCACTGTTACCACAGCAGTAAAGCTACGATGCAGCTGCTGTGCTGAGGATCCACTTGCTGGTACATCCATCAACTGCAACAAGTTTTCTGATCCATTGATGAACAGTGCATTCTCCTCAAACCTAATGCTTCAGAGGTCACGGAACTCTCATAACTACACATTCATGTCAGTCTTTCTAGGGTTTCTGCAAAGATCAGAACCATAGTTGAAGCAAAAAAGACAGATCCTATCTCCTTCCCCAACTCCAATGAGGTGTTTCCAGGTTTAGTGGAAAGCGAAGGAATATTAGGCATGTATTATGGTTTGAAGTCCTTATACTAACTGTACCAGTTTCTTTTTCCAAACAGTGTGGGAGTTAATGAACATTCCCAGCATAGTACTATGGGTCTGGGGCTTGTAGGTTTAGTTTTTTGACAACTAGGTATGCTGTAAAATTTCTAAGCATCCTGTGGGTGTGCTTGCGGAGGTGGGAAAGTAAGCCATAAAGACTGGAAGATTAATGGGATGTCAGAAAATGAAGAGTAGTATAATGCAAGGAGGGAATCTGGGGACAGAATGAACAAGAGAAAGAAAATATAAATGGGAAGAAAAGAATGAAAAGAAGCTGGAAGTTAGAAAGAAAATGAAACTGAAAGGAAGGAAAGCAAAGATAGAAAAGACTCACCTCATTTACAAGTCTTTCCTGTTGAAATTGTTCTATTTCTTATAGAATACTTACACAATTATAAAATCAGGCAGCAAGTCAGTAATACAAAATCAATACCTTAGTAAAGAGCACTCAACCAGGTTTCAGTCAGACTCTAGTAAGTGTTTATATATTAATTAACAAAAAAATAGAACAGCATCAAAAGGTGAACAGGGCACTATCCAGCCTTGAATAACTGATGGTCAGATACTTACTTTCCTGACAAATAGGCAGTATGGGCACAAACAATTTCAGGCAAAAGATGAATCTTGGAGCTCCCACATCATAGTTCAGCAAACTGACTCTGCAGCTACTGGTCAAGAAAGACACAAAAATGTGCTCCAACAGAGCCTGAGCTATGTTTCAAAAGAACTGGTTTTAGCCAAAAGTTGTCACACAACTCATTCTGAAGTTAGGAATAGTTAGGGAACAACCAAAACACATCATTATGGAAACCTGCTATTCACACAAAGTATCTTCCAAATCAAGTACCAAAGTTAAAATCAGAATAGAACAAAGATTATGCAGGTGGCCTATTTCTTATTTGCTTTAAGTTGTGGACATGGCCACTGACAGAGGGCTTCTAGCTCATGTATTCATCTTGTGTAACAGGAATTAGAGATATATTAAAACTCTGACAATGTACAATGAAATACCTTTTTTGTTTGTTTCATATATAGTATTTTTCTCACCTTAAAAACAGTTTGTGTTTTATACGCCCCAGACAGGCTATATGAAGTCCATTGTTGGTTTATCACTAAACCTAAGAGAACTGCATTTTTTAATGCACAGCTAGATTCTAGGTTTAGAAAATATGTTAAAAAAAATGGAGCATCTCTTGGGACAAAAATTATGTGGAAAGAAAATGTTGGAATGCAGGAAGAAAACAAACGGTAGTACTTTCAGACTTGCATACACATCTCAAAGTTAGACTGTTTATCAGTAATACACACTGGACAAAAATTTGAGAATCAGTATTGCAGAATTTGCCACTACCAACAGACTTTATTTGTAAGAATTTGCCCCTTCTAATATTTTCCTTCTATTTGAGAAAGCTTAAAGCTAAACATTTCTGAGATTCAAAAGATTGACACAATTGTTATCGAATGGAAAGAATGCATTCAAAGTAAAAAAAAAACTGACTACAGAAGTGATTTACAATGGAAAACGGAATCACATCAGAGAATAATATTCAGAACAGCTATCCAACAGGAACAATAGGGAAAATAATATAACTATTTTTGAGATGGAATTTAATGAGTTTATTAGCAGTACTTTATAATGAAGTTGTCTGCCACTGTAAGCAACTACACTTAGCAATTTGTAAGTGTTCTCCTTAGAATCTCTGTCTGTAAGAGCCTATGTTCCTTTTTGTTTTAAGTGTCTTATTTTGTAAATGAAGGCTCAGAAGTAGTAGTTTTTACCAAACACAAAGCAGGCTGGTTTTACTATGTAAAAATGTATGGGCAGTTAGAACAACAGCAAGACACAATTCTGCTTCTTACAAGGTAGTGTCTTACAAGAAAATATCCTTTTACACAATAAATTAGCATCCTAAAAATATTACTACCTACTTGAAGATTAACTACAGTGATTTTCAGATTGCAAAAATCATAATGAAGCAGGGAGCTAAAGAGAGATGGAGTTAAGTCCACCAATAATACCCTTCTCCATTCAAAGCACTCCTCCATCTGGCATGTCACGACATAGTATGTTACAGATATATGGAAACTAAATTCCACAAATTTAAGAGCTTAGGAAGACTCAGTAAATCATCAGTTCAACATACAAAAAAAGAAAAAAAAAAAAGAAAAAAAATCAACTTGCTCAAAAGCAAGTTCTACCATGAAAGCAACTCTCACAAATTTTTAAAAACATCAAAGTTTCTCAGCATCCATCAGACAATACATTAAATAGTTTGGTCAGAAGGGTGATATTAGCCACCACTTGAAAAAAGGCATGGATGTTTCAATTTATGTTTTAGTAAAACATAAAGATACTCATTCAGCAGCAACTATGAAGAGATGTTCATACCAAACGCATTTGCTGATTTTCTCTATCATTGAGAACTGTTCATTTTACTAACATCATCTTCGATTCATTTTATCCCATTCCATTTGGTTCTGTAGGCCATCATAGACAAGAAGAAAAATAAGTGACATGCAGTCATTAAGTATGAATGTTTTTTTCACAATTATATCATGTGGTTGTTTTCAAGAGTAGGCGACTAGACTCAATAATCCAGAAGATGCTGTCCAGTCTAGCATGATATTTACAGTCATTCTGCAGAGCAGAACCCCATTTGGTCACTTCCTTTCCCACAAAGATAATAACCCTGTGAAGACTAGATAGAAATGTCATTAGAGACTTAAATAAATACATATCACATTTCTAATTTGAAAGTATCTCCTAGGATGGAACCAAGTAATTTTTTTCTGTCAACTGCCAACACTGCAACTATTTTATAATGCCCAACATTGTAGTCTTTTATTTTATGATTGCCACTAGTGTTATCAGAACAATCTTCTGAAAGCATGGCTAAATAAAGAGCAATATTCTTTTTCATCATTAGAAACACAGCTTGGATGAGCAAGCCTACAAGGGAGTGTAGTGATGACACTGAGCTAATTTGGGGACAGGAAGATTCCTAGCATAAGGCTGAACCAAAAATAAGAAACCTGGATGACAGGCAAAACTAATTGGCTCAAGTGCTACAGACACAGCTTCCAAACTCTCACTCTACCTTCTCAGGGTATGGGATTCACCATGTGGACCTTTCTTCTCTGAGCAGTCCTGTCTTAGGGAACTCCACATCATTATTTCTTTATCCAGTGCAAATCTGTCCATATGACCCCATGCTGCAGGGTTTTCACCTGTGTGGACTATCAACTTCCTTCTCAAATGAAGATGTGTTAATTGCCCAAAATATTTATGGTCAATACTACCTGTGACAATTACAACCACTTTCATAAAGTAGTAGTGTTAGAAATCTAATTAATTGCTAACTGTCATGTAGTTAAATTTCACAAGTGCCTGCACCA